TATTCCTCATTATGGGTAATGCAGGATGTATATCATCAACCGAATCTCCAGACAAAATACCACGTGTTGGGTCGCTACAGTGCCAAACACCCAATCAGCTCCGAGTTTAGGGTTTCGGGCTTGAGGTTTACTTGGAGGATCAGAGGACTTAGCAAGTAAGGTTTACTAAGGATTCTTAACGAGCTCCTTAAACGGATCTATATGGCCGTGGGTCAAAACCCCGTGTTGTCGCGGGGCCCCCCCCTCTGTTACAAACCCTTGTCGCGCCGGCTTGTTTCAAACCCTTGTCGCGCGACATTGCTGGGCACCTCCATAGTAGTAGCAGAAGTAGTCGTAGTAGTAGTAGTAGTAGTAGCAGTAGTAGTAGTGGTGGTGGTAGCAGTAGCAGTAGCAGTAGTGGTAGTAGGAGTAGTAGCAGAAAGCAGAAGTCGCAGGAGGAAGAAGTAGCAGTAGCGGCAGCAGGAGCATTTGGGCAAAGGGGCATGGGCAAGTGGGAATGGGTGGGTTTGGGACTTGGCGGATTTGGGTCATTTCGGTTCTGGATGGGGAAAGGCTCAAAATGACACCTGCGAGCGTCTCCAATACTACAACATAGGTGGCCGCCTTGACTGGTCACTATCCAGCCGTAGCCAAACGGGCAGGCGGATACCTCACATGAGCTGTAGGGACAAAGCCTTGGTTCAATCCCCAGTGGTGTCATTTGGCCCTTTCCCCACCCGGAATCGAGATTTTGGGGTGACCAAAAGCTCTGGGACCTTTGGGGACCCTGCGTGGAGAGTGGATGGACATCCGGTGTTGTGAAGGTGTTGCGGAAATGTTGTGGAACCCCCTCCCCCAAACGGTTTTGACAGGCCCCCCCTCGAATATACATTAACCGGCCGGGGGGAATGTATAATATTAGGGGGTTGGCTAGGTTCTCGTTTGCGACAGTTTTCGAGGTTCTCACAACTTCACACTGGCTTCACATGCACTCGTTCACACTGGCTTCACATGCACTGCTCATGCACTCGACACTCAATCGACATTCTTTCCACCCCGGTTGGCGCCGCTCTGTCTTCGCACTGTGTTTGTCAGTGGCCCAAAAAAAAACCATCCCAAGCCATTAGGAGCTGCCAGCTAGCTACTTGGCAGCAGTACCCAGCAGCTCCGGCGCTGTACGGTGGATGGCCGACAGAAACGACAGGAAGTTCGAACAACCCTCCTTCGAGCAAGGCTGCACAAACGAAAACTTGGACCACACATGGCCCGAAAACGCATCCGCAGACATCGGCTCCACCTTCCCGTCGATCTTCGGCGCCTTCAGCAAAGTGCTGAAGTAAGAAGGTGTACGACGCTTCAGATGCTCCCAGAGTGGCCTTGCTTTCAGTTCTGGGCTAGAAGACAAACTCGCATGAACCATTTGGTCTAAACCCTAAGCCCTAAGCCCTACACCCGAAACACTTCAAAAAAAAAACCAATAAAGCCGGTTGGCAGCGGGCTCTTCTCCTTCAGCTTGATCAAAGTCCGCCCGCTCTCATCCACCAAAGGCCTCCCACTGTACTGCTCGTACAACTTGCGGAGCTCCTCCATGTAGTTCGCCATCATGGTTTTCCCCTTCTCCGACGGGGGAAACGAGTCCACAGCGTACAGCGTCTGCACAGCGAGATTCTTGGAGACCGTAGCCGCAGTCGAGGTCAGCTCGAGTTTCTCAGCAGCTTGGAGGCTCGCAATGGCACAGGAGGAGAGAGTCACCTTGAGCTCCACATTGGACTCCGTGAACGTGCACTGGCCGAAGGGCACCTCGAACAATACCACGGTCTCAGCATTGGATAGCCCGTGGACTTCCAAGAACTCCGTCCTCTCCAAGCAGCTGGTGAAGTATGAGCCGGGCACGGAGGTCGGCTGCATCCAGCGGACTTTCATGCCTGCACAGCACGATGCGGGCACACTGCCCGCATAGGGCTTGGCACCTCGACCCTTGCTCGCAGCCTTCGTTGAGAAGCGAAACACTTCCTCCACTAAGGCCAGGCCGACTGTTCCTGCCGATGTCGATGCTGCACGAACTGCTAGGATCTGGTAGTGCCGGGCATCTTTGCGAAGAGTGGAACTCGGCCTGAACTCCAGAATCGGCTCGGCCCCCTTGGTGGCGGCCTCCGCTGATCCCACTGCTTTGGCCTTCGCCTGGTCTGCAACCATGTGGGTGTAGGCTGCCCATGCTTGCTGACGACTTTGCCGGCCTCCAACCAGCAGAAAAGAACTTTGGGCCTTGGCCAGCTCCATCCTCTCCCGGTTGATGTCAGTCAGCGGCGGAGGCTTCTCCGAGACATTCGCCCTCGAAAGCAAGCCCTCTCCCAAGCGCACAGCAGCTGTGAACTGCAGGATGTGAGGCAACAGCTTGTAAGCTCGCTTCAGCAGGCTGGCTTTGCAATCGGATGCACCCGGCATGTACCCTGTCAGGCTGCCTCGATAGGGAGGCTAGTTCGCACCTGCTAAACCTTAAACCCTGAAAGCCGATGTAAAGAAAACAAAAAAGGAAATCGCCAAGTGACACAGCTCCAGGATCTGTGTGAGGGTCGGCAAAGCAGCCACCTCCGCTGCCTTCTCGGCTGCCTCGGCCTCGCATTCGATCGGTTTGGCCTCCTTGGCTCCATCGGCTTGCTCGGGGGCCTCCGTGCACATGTCGCTCAGCGAGGCCTGCAAAGCTGCTTCGCGCTCGATCATTGCAAGTGTGTGGCACTTCTTGGCAGTGTCGTCCAAAGCATCTGGATCCAGCAGCTTCTGATGGGCTGCCTCTTGCTCGGTGTCGGAGACGTCTTCCTCCAGCACATCATCCTCATCCGGGTCGGTGTTCAACAGCAGCTGACAGCCTTCCTCTGCAAACCACTCCCGAAGCTCCTTCTCGACATCTGCAGGCGAACGGCCCACGGACAGCACTGCATGCAGGGTGCATGCTGCACTGAAAGCTCGGGCACCGGCGGCTTCCACGTCGGGCGACTTCATTCCAGACCACGTGCGGGGTTCCGGAACATGTTTGATGCCCTTGGCTCGTTGCATGTAATGAAGTCTCTGTGTGGCGTACAAGCCCGCTTTGAGCGTCGGCAGGCCATGTCCTACGCCATTTTTTACCCTGGCAAAGTGAAGCTCCGACACAGCCTGATGGGATTTAGGGTTCAGGTACTGTTAAGGGTTTCAGGGCTTATACCCAGACCCCCGGACGGATCCAAAAAGTAGATCCGCATTTGGGGTGTCCAACATGGATACGTGATGTTTTTTGTGGATCCGCTACCATTTTGGGGTGAAACAGAGAAACCTACATCTTGAGCAAAAACATGCTAAGTCCACCAAACGAGCCGCATCATCCACATTCAGCGGGCTTTGAAGGTTTTGTATGCCACTGGGCAACAGAAGAAAGCATTCGGTATATTGATTTGGCGGCAACTCAGTCTCCTCGATGATCTTGTGAAACTTTGTGTCACAGAACAGGAATAATTGAGCATGCGTGTACATATATCTATATATACATCTATTTTATATTCTGATGCTCGTGATTCTTGAGCCACTTGAGCCGCTTGAGCCGTTTGAGCCGCTTAGCCTTAGGTTTAGGGTACATAGGGCATTAAGGCTTTAGGGTTTTAGGGTTTTAGAGCTCCCAGGGCTTTAGAGCTTGAGGTGTTAGGGTTTTAGGGTTTGGGGCGTAGGATTTTCTGTAGCATTCTCTCCTCTCAGGTTTCGGTGTTGGGATTTGAAGTGTTTTGGGCCTTGGTCGGGTGACGTATACGAAGATGTTGGAGTTTTGCGTTAATGGTGCATTTGAAAACTATTGCGGGGCTGCGGGATGCCAAAGTTTGCAGGAAGCTTCAAGCTAAAGGCTCTTAGAAGGTTGACGGTTTCAGGCGGGAGGTTCGGAGGCTGGCAGCCACAAAGAAGCCCACCCTTCAATCAACCTTAAGGTTTAGGGAGTAAAGTTGAAGGAGTTTGGGGTTCAGAACCCTAAACAGCAAACCTGCCGCCTTCTCAAAAGCTTCGAAGCTCCCAAAGCCACCTTTAAACCCTACCACCTATAAACACCTAAGCCCCAACCCTCCCGCTGGATCTTTCCGGCGATCGGACGATCGAGAAGTGCTGCTTGGCACAACTACTCAGGCTTTCGAGCCTCGAAAAGGGTTTGGTGCTTACTATCTCTATATAGTTACAGAAAAAGCCGACCACATAAGAATTATGGCTTGGGGGCTTAGGGTTCGAAGACTCGCAGCCTGCACTGCACACAACTCTCGTTCGGAAGTCACTGTCTGGAGCGTAGATGTCCTGAGATGCTTCTCTGGCTTGCAGGAAAGCGAAAACCCGAAAGCTAAACACAACCATATGCCTAATCTAAAGTCGGCAAAAGGTTTCGGAAAGAAGCCGGGTGTCGTCATGTTGCTAGCCAGCCGACCACCATATGTTGTAGCATAGCCTCGTTCGTCGCAGTGGGGTTTCGGATCTTAGGGCTTCTTAAACCCTACACCCTAAAAACCCCGACCCTAAACCCTACTACCTTGACTACGTTATAACTTAGGAAAAAGACAGAACCAGATGAAGCAAAGAAGCTCGTCTGCACAAAGACCATACCATATGTGGAGCGGCTCGACTGCAGAAACTCGTTCGGCCTCCTCGGAAGCTATAGCAGCAGCTGCCTTATATACATACATATGTATAAGGGCCAGGACTCTAGGAGCTTAGCTCATGTTGCCGAAAGACTGGTTTCGTCCATGTTGCCTGCTCTTAAAGTTGAATCCTAAAGCGGGCATATGGCTTTGGTTCAAGCAAGTGTCCTCGGTCGTTCAGCCCTCGGCACAAGCATCAAAGTCGCGAAGGAAGCCAGCTCAATGCCTGCGAGTTGCGATTACTTTGAAAGTCTAGCAGCCTGAAAAAACAGGCCTGGTTGTAACGAAACTTGGAAGATCAAGTGTCAGCAAAAGCGGTGGGAGCCAAAACCCTGGAAGGGTGTTCCTAAGATCAAGTTTGGGGACAATGCCTGGTGCTCACCGGTCGTTGGCCTCCTGCTGGAAGCATTCCATCATCGCAAGTTTTCTGTACACTTCCAGAGCCCAGCCACGTCGATGCACCGACCTGCAGATCTGGGCGATGAGCCCGTTCAAGGATTCGTCGATGTATGTGGAATACATCCTTGGATTTCCCTTCTGGACCGCCCGTTGAATCATGTGATACATCATGTGACACTTTGGCAAGAGAGCGACCCCGGCCCTCTCACACAAGCAGATGAACCGGTTATAGTGATCGAAAAGCATGCCGCAAAACCTTTCATCGATCGCCCTCGGGCCATTGGCCATCACAGCATCGAAGTCCATTGCTGCTCTTCCCGCTCGCAAAAGGAAGTCGCACGTGTTGGCATGCTCTGCAGACAATAGAACATGTGCGTGCTTCTCAAGCCTGCCGACCACGAAACCCAACAACCCGTGAGTCTCAGCAGCCTTGGCTTTGAGATATTTGCCTGCCAGCATGGTCAAGGACAAGTTCCAGACCTGACTGGGATTGATTCATCACTGCGAAAGAAATTAGGCTTGTTTGGATCTTCAAAGGAGTTCGATCGGGCAAGGGTTCATTAATTATGGTGGATTTTGCATGGACCGAGCCTCTGTGCCTTTCTTCCGCCACATGCCGTCTTCGTCATTTTCCCGGCGACGTTTGTAGTAGCTCCACAGCTCAGCACGAAGAGTCAACAAAGCGAGTTTGTCGGCCTCTTCCTTGTCCAGGTCAGATGCCGACGGCCGGTAGACTGGCGATCGGAGCAGATGCCTCAAGGAATGTGCGATGAATGTGGACATAGGTCCGTAATGCCATGTGTGCAAAACATCCACACACCAGGTGTTCATCGTGACCCCAGGGATCTGCAGGAAAGGCGACAAATGAAGAACTCTCCCATCTTTCCCTCCAGTGTAGAAAACACAAGAGAACGGGCAGCGTTGCTTCGCGAAGTCGTGGACATCTGGCAAGGAAGAGCTCGGCTCAAGCCGCCAGCCCTTTCGGAGACCCAGAAGAGGAAAGTTCTGCTTCAAGCATCTGCCTCGACCAGGCCTCCGGTAGCGAAGTTGTGCGTTGATCCGCAGTTTCGTGTCCTCGTCCGGCACGAAGATCTCCTTGCTTGCTTTACATGTGCTTAATATTCGCTTTCGCGATATTGAAGATCGTCTGTTGTGTACGAAATATGGTGGGCTTTATCAGACCACAAAAACGAAAGCTTTGTGGACATGGAATATTGGATGTGAGTGTCTCGAAAGGTCGCAGCGACGAGCTCCTCGTAGGCCGTCTGGTCGAAAAGACTGTGCGGGCAGCTGTGAAGAGTCATCGTCCCGAGAGCCCGCATATTCGTTTGGTTCACGGTGCAAAGTGGACACGGGTGCTTGTTGTGCGACCATGTGCGGAATCCGCACAGTTCGATGTAGGCAGGCCAATCTGCTTTATAGTCGATGATGCAAGAACGGAGGTCCTTGTGAGGGGCACACATATCTCGCCGAAAGTGGTCCAGCAAAGGAAACACGGAGCACCACCCCCGGCACCCACATGAGCAAAGCTCTGAGAGTCCTGACCATAAACAGAATATGAAGTTTAGGCTGCTGGTTTTAAAAATAAGGTTTGGGGAAACCGAGGGTTGATGGGTTTGCTATCTGATTATAGTTCTTCCTGTCAAACAATAATTAGGAAAAGGTTTCCTATTTCGACTCAAGATCGGATGGCGGCTTTGCTAATTCGGAAACCCTACAAACCCTAATGCCCCAGACCCTATAAACAAGCCAAAGGCACTGAGCAGCCAGACGAGCTGTTGGCGCTTTGTCCGAAGATTTGTAACGTAAAAACCAAGGAAGTTCTCATTCTTAGTGTACTGTACTCCGTCAAAGTAAACAGCAACAGGGATGATACGTTCCTTCGGCAAGCCAGCCTCGAGAGCATCAAGCACGACTGGATGTTGATCATAAAGACTCAAGTACTCTTTGTCGGCATCCAGAAGTTTTGCAACACAGTCCGGGTCTTTTGGCGGACCGTCTCCTAAGAGGCCCAACTTTTGCAGCTCCCGTCGAAGAATGTCTGAGGTAACTCTGGTAGGATGTTGCACGGATATTCGCCCAATAGATTTTTTGCAATTCATGGGCACAGCTACATACTCGACGTAGGGTTCTTCGAACTGCTTCGCCAGGTGGCAACTTAGCTAGATTCAGCAAGAACACCGGACCCAAAACATCAAACCCTAAACCCGTGAACCCTAAAACCCTAGATCCCCTGGAGTCCTTAAGCCCTCAATGTACGAATCGACGAACAAAAAAAATGCCAATCCAAGACCTGGGAGCCGAAGATGCTCGGTGGCGTGTCGCGGTGCGTTCTCTGGTGGCAAGCCAATGTCCTCTGTGCCTTTGCCTCCAGACTCATTGTGAAGATAGGCCAAAATGCAGGTATCGGCAGCGGTAGTTTTTCCTGTACTGTACCTCTCTAGAAGATATTGTTTAAACCGTTTCCCAGCCGCCTCACGATACCCAGCATCTTCTGGCTCCTGCTCGGCATCTACAGTGAAGGCACCACCAATCTGCTCGAGCGTGCGAGCTCTTTTGAAACTCATGCATAGCTAGGTGGCTACTTTCACGAAGGTTGGGAGAAGGAGTTGAGGTCCGGGGCTGTTGCCTAGGGTTTGTTTTGGCTGAGTTTGGACGGCCTGAACCTGTGCCTTTTAATATTTGTGTCGGCTTTGGGCCTACAAGTCTTTGCCCATGCAAGCAAGTCATCGGACATCATGCAAACGAGGCTCTGCCGATACTGCGAAGTCTGCTTATTGCAGCTGGCTCTGGAAGCACAGGTCGCACAGCACTGAACAGTATAATGATGCGATTTCGGTGTTGAGGTTCGGGGCTTGCAAACAAAGAGATCTAGCTTCAGGCTCTCGCTTCTCAATCGGTCCTGGGGCCTGAGGTTTGGGCCTGGGGTTTATGATAGGGGTCCGGGTAGACACTAGGTTAAGCTTCAGGCTTTGGGCTTGGGGTTTGAGTTTAGGGGTTGGGACTCGGGTTCTTTGTTGCAGCTTCGAACTTTGTGGTCTAGGCTTCCAATACACTCTATCTACAGAGCATGCAACTTCAGAAGTCGGAAGTTGTTTTCATCGGACACATCGGAACATGCTGCTGCACGGTAACTAGCTTCGCAACGGACAAGCTGGCACACGTCGGCAGTTGTCTAAACTTGTCGTGATGAGACTGCAGAGACTAGGGATGAAAAGGTGGTCACAGCACACAGGCTTAAGGTGATAGGGTTCTGGGACATGAGCAATCTAAGCTAAAACGTTGCTGTGTGCGTGAGAATTTCCGGGTCTTCCCGCACCGACAAGCTTCGAACCTACACTGCACTGGCACCAGCTGCTAAAGATCGAGGGCAATGCAACCGATTGTTCAGGCTGCTGAGGCCAAGCTATAGCACTTTAGACTTTAGGGTTTGGGGTTTCGCAGGGTTGGGCTCAAGGTCTCGAGTAAAGTACCGGACGGGTAGGCGTCTGGGGCTTAGACTCTCGGGTTTGCGATACGGCTAGAAGACTTTCTACAGAGGCCTGCCAGCATCAATCGGCGACACTACCGGTTCACACTCAGCCACACTACTCCAAGTGCCCTGAGCACATTCCCCATAGACAAAGCAGTGCAATCAGGAAGGTTCCCGGGATCTGGGACAGGAGTTCTAGCTGCACCAAACCTGGATTTCAAGCTCGTCGGGGATTTAAGGTTTAGGGTTTGGGGGTTTGGGGGTTTAGGGCTTTAGGGTTTTATCGGGTGTATGATCAAATTGAAGGGCTTCTAATCTCTAAGTAACGAACCTTTCTAGGATTCGGATCTATAAGTACTGCAGTCTATTTGTACATACCAAGATCGATGCATGAAGGGCTGGCTACACGGCTACACTTCAAGGACCCTTCCTGCAGCACTGCACAAAACCCACGAACGAGGACGTCGATCCTCCTATGCGGATAGCGATGCTTGCGAGGCCAGCCGCTTCGGTTTCCGAGTCGAGGCCTTTGAAGGTTTGGAAGGGGTTCCAGCCACAGCGGTAGCTTGAGCATCGGCCATCTGTCGAATCTTGGTAGTGCATTCACTCATGGCCGTAATTTTAGGCCCGAGTTGCAAGCACCACTCGCACAACTTCGAATGATAATCAATGCCGTAAGATTTGCGTAGCCGGCTGGTTTCTTTAGCGGATAGGGCAGCTACCTTGGCTTCCTTGAAGAACTCAGTGTCTGCATACAACTGCACGATCTCTGTCCTAAGGGACTTATACTGCTGTACAAAGTCCTTTGCCCAGCTCCAGGCAGCCGGGTTGGCACTCATATCAGCTGCAATCGCCGTCATGCAATTGTCACTCTGAGCTTCCAAGGCCAAGAACTCTTTGAGTTCCCGTTCTTTCTTGCTAGTGACATTGCCACCAGCACCACCCTTCCTAGGCTTCTTAGTCTCCGGCTGACCGGTTTCATCATTACCCTCAACCTTGCCTTGGCCGCCCATAGCCTCCAAAGTAGCCTTCTCCGTCTTGCCCGGTTTGCCCTTTGCTTTAGGTGCCGGTGCCGGCGATGGCGTCGGAATCGGTCCTCCTGGCTTCGGGGCGGTCTTGCTGGCGGATCCATCTCCGCCCGGCTGCGGCAAGGCGGCCGGCGTCGAAGCGTAGAGTTCAGCATATCCCCGAACCCCCAGGTCGGTCGCCTCGATCATTTCTCTTGTTACATCCTTGGCATACAGGCCCTTCTCGACCGCATAGCATCTCGCAGCTTTGCAGAATTGGGCCTTGTAAGCCCAAGATCCAACGATCGGCTCGTCCTGCACCTCCACAGTGACTTCATTTTTCCAGGTGGTCTCCGACATCGAAGACACCAGGGACTCCACCCAGAGGTAGGTGGGGGCTTTCAGCCAGTCGTTGAACATGTAGCAATACTCCTGCAGCGGAGTGTGTTGTATTGGATTTTGGGGCTGAAGGGGGTCCAGGCTTTTTAAGGTTTAGGTTCTGGGAGCACAGCAGGTTTAGGGCTGAAGGGTTTTTTTAATTAAAGCTGTATAAGGGCACATAAGTTTTGGGAAAAGGCAGATTTAGGGCTGAAGGGGTCTAGGTTTCAGGGTTTAGGTTCTTTAGGAGGTTGGGTTTTGGGCCAGGATTATTGCAAAGGCATTATAAGTTGTCTAAGTGGCTTGCAAGAAAACCCAACCCTTTGTGGAAGCCCAGCCTTCAGATCGTTTCGCAGACACATACTCATGTAGTTCTTCGCCTGCATCACAGCTTCCGGCTGGTGGCTGCCTCCCAAGATGGCCTCCAACTGGAGTTGGGTTTTGAAAACCCCAACGTCTTCCTTCCTCTTTCGGAAAACATTAGATGTCGTCCTTTTCGAGGACGTGAAGGCGAAATCTCTCGAGCATGTCCAGGCAGCACGAAAAGCTGTTTTTTCCGAATCAAGTAGTACCTGGTAAAGTTCTTTCACGTCCGGCCGATGCTTCAGTGCTCTCTGCATCGCCTGGCTCGCCGGTCCCCGGGCCCCCAGGTTTGTCTTCTGCGTGGCCCAGTGGACTGGGCCCAACTCAGAAGTCTGGATCATTTCATCCGTAACCGCCTCAATCGCGAGGCCGTGGTGCTCGGCAAAGTTGGACCTGGCATCCTGCAGAGCTGCAGCTGTCAACTTGACATCATCCTTCGGCACGGGTGGCTCGGCAGCATGGGCTTCTGGGGCATCTTTAGCATTCGGCTCCGAGGTTGTGGAGGGGGTCTCAGGAGTCGAAGCGGGAGTGGGAGAAGTGACCTGCGTGGCCTGAAAGGCTTGCGGGGTCGCAGGAAAAGGTTCTCCCCCGGCCAATCCCTCGGATGTGCATTGCTGTGTATCCGCAGAATCTACTGCAGACATGTTGTCTGCAGGATCAAAACCTCTGAAACTTTCCGAGCTACTTCTATAATCGGCAAAATGCCGAGCAGCTCAGCGGCTGCATAGGTTCGATCGAGCCATCACGAATCGCACGATTTCGCATGCACAGGTATACTCTGCTAATATAATATATAGCATAGAAGACATCGCAGGAATGTAAGCTTAGGGGTATAATAATAAGTTTCTAATTTTTAGGTTCATAAAACCCACAGCACGGATCGGATCTAGAAACCGCTGCGTATCTAGATCCACTAGGCAAAAGAATTTTAAGAGCTTCCTATTATTATTACTGCTATACTTTCTTATATAAGATATAAATTAAGAAGCTTGGGTATATATAAGTTTCTAGTCTTTACATTCACAAAAACCCACATATCGATCGGATCTAGCATCGTTTGCGTATCTAGATCCACTTGGGGGCTATAAGTCTCTAGTCTTTAAATACCCAACCACCACACGGATCGGATCTAGAAAGCACTGCGTATCCAGAAATATAGGCTTTGGTTGCAGAAGCCTTGACAGGAAGTAAGTTTCTAGTCTTTAGATTGACAAAGCCTAGACCACGGTGGGATCTACAATCAGCTGTGTATCCACATCCATTCGGTGCCATAATTGCATGGGAGTACATTAGGTGCATATATATAAAAACTTCCGGAGCAGGAGCCTCGACTATTGCAAGTTTCTAGTCTTTAGATTAGCACGAGCCAGCACAGTAGGATCTAGAATTGGGTTGCGTATCCAGATCCCAGTATTATGTCGCTATGATTATCAGCATACATTAATTTCAGGCTTCCGGGAGGCTTCAAAACAGGACCTGGACACTTCATCGGGACCTCATCGGGGATCCAGTTTGACTCATCAAGATCTGTGGCTCTCTACAGACCATGACACAGGCTGCACCAGTAGCGGAGACTTCATCGGGGGACCTCATCGGGGATCCACTTTGACTCATCAACATCCCTGGCTCTCTATGACTCAAGTACATGGATGCGATCTCACGGAGACACTTCATCGGGGTCGTTTTTGGGCTGTGAAACCACCAATCTGCGGATACTGCGGTTTCCGTGTTTTGGCACGACGACTGATGATTTGCGTCGGGATCCGAGGATTCGCAGCAGCTGTGGCGATTCTGGATCCTCTTCTATATGGTGGTTCTTGCAACCCGGCCACAACACCACAACCTCTCAATCTGGAACCCCTCCATATATAATTAGAACGATATTTTTGTATCGCTATCTTATCACTATATTATTGTTATGATTATCATATATATAAATGTATATATATATATATATATATATAGGTATACAGCATATTCTATATATACACAAAAACATATATATACGTACATATATATATATATATATCCACACTTGCAGAGAATGTGCATATATACACATTAGAGATAGACATGTGTGTGTATATATATATATGCAAATATATACATATGTATATATACATGACTATGTATGTATGTATAAGCACTCATACATTTACCCTGCAGTGTATTAGTATACATGTCTGTGTTTCTACACACATGCACATGTTTGTCCTTTTTCCATTATAGAGGCACAATGTAAATACATGCACAGGCGTGCACACCGACTACAAACACGTACCTGTCCTTATGTTCGTCCCTCGAACCCAAAGCCTGAAAGGATTTGGAAATTAATCTTGTGTATTCAAGAGCTTCCGATACAGAGATCTAAGTCCAATAGTCGGCTGTACTTAGAACACCCCTGTCATGTGTTATGACCTTGTGGAAAGGAACTACAGTGTGTGCGACTTCGGTGAAAGGGATACTAATCCGACCATGTAAATGTCACACATCTGCATTGTTATACAACAATGTAGCAGATCGGTGGGAGCTACGTACCGTTTCCACATAGGGTTTCGGGTTTAGGGTTAGGCTATCGGGTTGTGTCCCATGCTGTCAGGAAGCTTTAGAGCTTTAGTGCAATATTAACCACACCAGCGGGACCACTTGCTACAGCCTGCTGCTCCTCCAACTCAAAAAAGCATCGCCAGCAGCTGGTGCCATCGGTGCTTGGTACTTGTAAGCCTCCAAGCCCTTATATACAATCGAATAGCCCATAAAACACAGACGTCCAACCCCCCCCCAAACGTCAGTCATAGTGGAATGCCGGGTTCAGTTCCTAGGCTTAATAGCAGCATCTACCGGAAAGGGGATCAGACTTTTCATTGCGGCCTATTCAATACTTGCGATCAAGAACAGTTGCTACCCTAGCTTCCATAATTTATCGGAGATAAACGACGATGGCCTTGTTCTTCCAGCAAGTACAAAGACTGCCTAGATATGCGACAACCGAAAACCTTGCACCGACAGCCTGTACGTGCTGCTGCTGGGAGAGCATCACTCGAGTCCCTGGGCGGGGCCACGGGTGCACGGGGATTCGCCATTAAAAATTTATGGTGTCCGAGGGTTTGCTACTAAGGGCTTAAGCTAGAGGTGGAGTCTTTGGGGTTTCACTATATGAAGGACAACGATGCTGTCTCAGGAGTTGAGATCGCCTGCGTATGGATTCAGCCGGGGCTGTTGACATGTTTCTCATCCCTGACCGATAAGTAATTCAGAGCTTCTATAGAGGCTAGCGAGTTTTGACTTTAGGGCCCAGCAGGTGCAACCCCACTAGACGATATACCTTCGGCCGGCCCACGAGTCTGATACCCCGACACATCTCCACCTATTATAACAGGTATGACTATAGACGATCCGAACTACGATTGCTAGTGTTAAAGTTACCAGGCTGCTATACATGACTACCTTAGGGCGTGGGTCGATCTCACTCCAGCTTCGCATCAGATCATCCGAAGGTCTGCCAAGCCTAGAGCAGCCCCTGTTGCAATCGATTGAAGAAACCCCAGAGTGCTCACGACGTGATTCGGTTTTCAGAGGCTGCAGGGCTTATGGTTTCGGGTCGGGTTTTGGAGTCTTAATAAGCCAATATAAGAATTAGCTAGTGCTGCTTCACAAGTGGAAAACCTTTAGTCGGAAATGAATGCACCCGGAGCACATCTGAGGCTTCTACGATCAGTGGCTACGGTTCTTGCAGAGGACCTCGGGGTGATGTTATGGGTTATAAGGACGGGCCAGTCAGAACAGGGCTAGGCTTCAAAGCACACAACATCCGATATAAAGACTTCTCTGCACACTCCTAGACTAGATCATCTCCATTCGTCCCCAGCATCATGTCAGCAGCCGAGCCGAGGCGATCCAAGCCTGAGCTTGAGGGGGGTTCATGGAAGGAGGTATGCTAAATCTAAGGACTTAGGGTTTAGGGCTTAGGGTTGTGATTCTGGTAAAGCACTTATCTGCAACGTTTTGTAGTCAAAGAACTGTAGCAGCGACTGCGACTGTGCGTATGAAGTCCATAGATGTAAAATCTGCATATATATATATATATATATATACATATATATATATATATATTACGATCCTGCTTGCACTCCTACAGAAGAAGTCTTTGTATGTAGTCACAACGACGTTGCGTGTAGGGTTTCGGGTTTGGGTTTAGGGTTTCAGGGTTCAGGGTTGGGGTTTAGAGGGCGGGCTGGGAGCCTTCCATCGCCGGGTCGTTTTCTGTCTGCTCCTCCTCCTCGCCTTCGCCATCGTTGTCGTCATCATCGCCCTCACCATCAGCATCGTCGCCCCTCTCGCCGTCGTGGTCCGAGGGTGCAGGCTGAGGCCTTAACTACATTCAATATGACAAAGCACACTCTCGACGAAGATCGTTCTTGCCCAAGACCAAAAATAAAAAAGCGGCTAAATCAAACCGATGCTCGCCTCAGGAAACCCCGGCAGCTTTAGCTTGTTGATGAACTTCCAGCTCAGATGCTTGCTCCAATCAACTCCGTTCTTGGACCCGTAGTCAAGCAACGATTGCTTGCAAACCCTGAAATCTATCTCGTCGGGGTTCATGTTCATGCCATCGTAAGCAAAGGCGAAGCTTTTGAGGAAGTTCATCCCCTGCTCCGCCGTGAAGCCACCTTCCTTCACTACCACTTGCATCTTTTGCTTGAAAAGCGAACACGGCCCAGTCCTGTCAGCTCGCACCTCGAACTTCAAGATTGGCATTTTGGTGCCCTGCGTACAGTATTTTATCCTGCAGCAGCCTAGATCAAAATCAGGCACTGGTTTCGGAGAGGCTTTGGGTTTGGGCTTCCGCTTCGGCTGCTGGGCTTTTCCGAGCATAGGCAAAGCTTTTTGCCCGCCTTTCAAGTCATCGGGCACCAAATGCGGCACCCGCCACTCCAGGCCAGACTCAAAGGACACATAGACCTCGTCGTCTTTCACAAAGGGCTCGGAACTGAACTCGCCATCGCACACGGCCTTCTCGTGCAGGTTGCACCACGTCACATCAGCCTGCTTCTTGTCGTCGGCCTTCTTGGGTTTCGTCTGCTTCTTGTCGTCGGTCTCCTCGGGTTTCGCCTGCTTCTTGTCGTCGGTCTCCTCGGGTTTCGCCTGCTTCTTGTCGTCGGTCTCCTCGGGTTTCGTCTGCTTCTTGTCGTCGGTCTCCTTGGGTTTCGCCTGCTTTTTGTCGTCGGCCTTCTTTTTCTTTTTCTTCTCCCTTTCGTCGTCTTGCTTCGTCGTCTGAGGCCGTCTCTTGCCCTTCTTCTTGTCGTCGGCCTCCTTGGGTTTCGTCTGCTTCTCCTCGTCG